TATTATACTATAGACTGCACGTACTGCTCTGCAACAGGCGCTCAGTTGTCTGCAAAGTGCAAGCTGTCATCAGTTCAGCTAAGTGAATTACAGCAAAAAAATATGCAATCAGTTGTTAGCAGTCATCTTTCTGTAATTTTCTAGCGGACAGCTGTTACTTCGGTACAGTTCTTAGTTCAGCTTTCGACTTTTGCAAATTTGGCTGCATAATACTCATTCTGACCTCTTCAGGTCATGCAAGCATACTTTTATAACAACCTCAAATACCATTTCATTATATCAAAGAGTTATTTGCACTGCAAGTAAACTTAGCACTAAAATAGACAGTCAAATAATTTATCGGAAGAAATTATAATTTTGTTATTTTTTCTCAGTACTAAATGGACTTTTTATTTAACAAAGCTATTTAAAGTTTTTAAAATTTGACCGCATTGCATTATAGCTACTCAAAAAATAATTAAATTGTACTAATGAAAAACTTGTGAAGAATTATACAAATTACAAAATTCATAATTGCAAACATGCCATTATTTAGCCAAACATGTCGAGAAGGTTTGCCATCATCAAATAATTCTTAGTACTGAATAGAAGTATTGAATGGTTTTATAATTCATTGGTGGGAGGGCAGAAAGGGCTACGGTAGTAATGCTTTGTAACTCTCGAAGATCCTACTCTCGTGTGCCCTCTTGACACAACCAATCAAACTCGTCTTTTCACATTCTTCCGACCAGAAAGTGAAATTACCGAATATCTAATCAGATCTAATTTCTGTCTTTGTCCCATGCGCAAATGTTGCAAGCAAAGACTAAATTTCCACTTGTGACGACTGCAAATCACTTGATTATTTTTGCTTCCAATTTAAGATTAAAAATATATAATTTCCCATTTTTTCGCACATATGACTTTAATGCATACTAATCAGTCGATTATACACTCAGATATAAGCTTACTTCACAATGAGCGTATTTACAACACATTTGCAGCCAATGCATTCTATGAATTCTTTGTTTACCTTAATTTGGCATAATAATTCTAGTAACAGCAAATTGTCATATTCATCTTGCAATTCGCTGAATTCAAGATAAAAGACGTGAGTAACATTTGACCTCATACGTGATTTATTTGCTTTACTATTTAGCTGATATTAAATACCATTTTAACCTTGATGTTTTAGATACAGCTAATAACACTTATTATTGATCACTGAAGTAGTAAATAATTAACACGAATATTATCACTTTAATCGCTTTGCAGATAATTAATTTGATCATTACTATTAACAATTAGTGCCAACATTTCTGGCTTATGCAATCATATTTTGCAATATTATCTAAAGAATTAATTGTATGAATTAATGAATTAACTTGTAATGATTGAAAAATCACTTACCAATTTCGAAGTTTAAATTCTTCGCAATACAAAATTAAGTATTTAGCCAAAAATTTATCATAGTATTATTTATCACAAGTAGATTTACTACCAAAACTGAAATTGCTTTATGAATAAAGTAAATCAGTGAGATCTAGTAATTGAGTAATAAATAATTAGATTGGTTGGTCAGGATCGGTATAATAAAGCTTGTGGAAGGTGGATAAGCTTCAGAATTCATAAATTCAGCATATTTTCAGACTCTACCAGTGGGGACCAATTCATCAGCAGATTCTTGTCCTCAATCGTGCCAAAACAACCAACACACAAAAGTTGTAAAAGTTAGACATAATGCTGTCATTTAAACTGCGAAAATTACTTCTATTTATTTCTTTTATTCCAATCATTACTTATGAATTTCTTTTAAAATTAAGCTTATTTTCTGAGTAAATTTCTTTTTAAATTTATGGATAAAATTTTGAATAAATTAAATAGCAGTCCATGTCATTAACTTCCGCGCACTTCTCTTTTCTTCAATGATTTCAAAATTTTAAAAAATTTTCATAAAATCATTCAAAAGTCTTGCAACTATTCAAAGAATACAACAGTTTAAAACACATAATATTGTGAATAAAACTTTCCCGCTGCTTACTCACAAATTTGAAAAGTATTGTTGTAGCAACCATCAAATGTAACACTCTCAATAGCATTATAATTGTGATTATATTTCAAAAGTTATTACTAACTTTATATTTTTTTCAGAAGTTATTAATTTTTTGTACTTTTTAATCAGTTTTTCGTTTTTAATTATGCACAAAAATAAGTCTTAAAAGTGTTAATAATCCAAACAAATTATTATTATTTGATAATGCTTTTGATTATATCATTATTTATTATTATTATTATTATTATTATTATTATTATTATTATTATTACTAGTATTGTTGTATTAAATAGTGTGATGAATTTAAAGATTAAAATGTATTTGTGATTAACATTTTTTAATAGTTATTTATGTGGGCAGTAATGCGCTCATTTACTTACGCATTCATTAAGGCATTTTAATCATAAAATTTGCATAACTAAAATAAATGAACAGAAAATGGCTAAGCAAAAGGCAACAAATAATTATTTCATTGTTTGCGATGAACATTTTGATAGTACCGACCATTACCAATAGTATTACTAATACTAATACTATTACTATTACTTTTACTATTACTTTCACTAATACTACTATTAATACTACTATACTGCTATAATTTTCCCCTTATAATGGCGTAATTTGCATACGTAAGTGAGTCGCATGCAACAATCGAGTGCTCGTTGCCATTTGCTTCAAATTATCGTTTTATTTTTACCGATTTCTCGTTGTGCATTCCAATCTGTCATCTGTGTATTCACTGCGCGAAAATGTTACACATCAAAAAATGCAAAATTGTTAACACTCAAATAATTAATTCATCGAACTACTACTCATTTATTTATCACTTGTAGTTAGTACTAAATAATGAAGCAAAATAATATTATATGCGTTAAAAGTAAATTTTTAATTGTAAGGGATTTTCTCAGCAGTGATAAAAGAGTAGAAAGAATGATTCGAGATATTTTTGAAGAAATAAATGTGCTCCAGAATAGGAGAAACATTTGTTATGAGCGAAGTGGTAATGACTGAGATGTGTGTGTGGAAGAGATATTGTAGTATCTATCTAATGCTAGGGAAGACAGTTCATTGATGATTAACTGATAATATTATTTACTGTAAATTATTGGCAGTTTTGACGAGAAATAAAAATGAATGCAAATAAGATCAGTTTTCGTAGTTCTTTTGCAGCAATATAAGTGATGAATGGTTGCATCACCTGTTCTTCAGATGATGCTTGCAGATTTTGAAGATGAATGAAGGAACGGACGAGAATGAATATACTCTTCTACAGATATTGCTCCAAATTAAAAAACTTAAAATCAAAGCTTAAAATTAAAATTTGGTTCATTTTTGTGTATCAGTTGATGGAGTAAGTGCCTTCAACAAGTATAAGTGTGTAAGTTATCTAATTGACACAAGAAGGTTAATTTTATAGTAATTAAAATTAATAAGTGGCTAAAAAACTATTCATTAAAAATATTGCAATTAACTTTTACTTTCAAACATTACTCTAAGACTGTAAAGAGTTGCATAAACCATTAAGTTAATCTGTTATTATGTGATACAAGTCTACAATAATATACGCTATAATGACTAGATCGCTTTTGCATCCATCAGTATCCACAGTTTCATACCAAAATTGTATCCAAAATGTTTAATTTCAGGTACTGTTTTTGCTATCTCTGCAGACGATCACTTGATTCACTTGATTATGCAAAATTCCTTTCCATTATGCAAATCATATCAAATACTTTATTATTTTCACATATCTTTACAATTCTTTACAGTTAGCTAATACAGAATAAGATTTGATAATTAACTAATGAAAGGAATATATATCTCATAAAGCCATATTAGCTTCCGTACTCCATGGCTACAAATAAAATGTACTGTGTAGATTTTTCAGAGTGTAATGATTAGTCGCAAAATATTTTGAAAATTAAATAGAAGTCATTTGAGATGCCAATTACAAGAAAAAAAGAAAAAGATAGTCAATTAATTTCAGGTCAAACAGTGATAAGTTTATTTGCATAGCAGTTAGTCCTGCAAGAATATTTTATCAATACATAATCAGAAGCAAAATATATAAGTGCCTGATCTGGGACTAATTCTGAATGAATATTTATGCATTCAGTAGCCTGTCTAATTTAAAATTCGCATGGAATAGACAGAGGGACACGATTTATTCAACTGTTTTCAGTATCTCACGAGAGATGCTTTAAGCGAAGATTTACGAGCCTAGTTTAGTCATATCTCCGAATCAATTAGGTGATGTGCACATCAATTCTTCGTACCAAAAGTCTAGTCTGAGAATACAGAGGTCAAATTTTGCGCTTCTTTGGCAGTTATCTTTGAGACGGAAGGACTTCCAGGAGAGCACATTGTAAAGTAGAACATTCTTCTTGTTTCAGATCTTTAATGAGCTGGCTAACGATAGCAGAGAGAATCAAAGTTTTGATCTCATTTTTGCATTTACCATATATGTATATCATTAATCTCAGTACTAGATAGACTTTTTCTGCTATTATTCATCCATTATAACTTTGTCATATCCTTCCAATATGATAGTATCAGAAGCACTGCATAGATGGAATACTGATCGAAATATGGTATTCAAACACAAACTGACCAATTCCATGTGATAACAACTATTGTCAAAGATTTAACATTTATTTTTGAATAAAACTGAGTAATTGGCATGTATCTGAGAACAAAGTTATAAATGTGGCTAACTAGTCTAAACAAACTTTAACAAAAAAAATTCTAGTGGTAAAATATGAATATTGAATTGATCACTTTACTCGGATTTTTCATACGTAATTCATTAATTACATTAAGACAGACTACTCAGTCTCAAATAGTTTTATTGATTGTAGACAAGTCTTTAAATAAATATGCTGAGTATGTGAGTAAGGACAAAATAATTTTGAGGCAAAAGCAATCAGTTGTAGTAGAATATCTTTTGGACTAAGTGAAGTTAAAAGTGTCAAACAGATATGGTCTCTTCTTTGTAAACACGAATCTGCCAGCACAGAAAGCCACCTAAGATACCACCAACGACCCCTGTCATGAAGCCAAACACCATCCCAAACAGTAGATATTGACTCCAAGCGCCATTCGCGACTGAGTCACAATTATCGCTATCTCCTGTCCAGCCATCAATATCACTTTCTGGGACAACTAATGCAACCTGTACATGTTCCACTCTTTGCTCCAGAAGTTCAGCACAACTAATTCTGGGGAAGCAAATTGTGATCAGCAAAGAAGCTATGAACAAGTTGCGTACATTCTTACAGAACATTCTTCAGAGGATTCTGCAGAAAGTTACGTATATAATTGTCTTCTCAAAAAAATTACATCTAGACGTGTTAATCGTTTTTGTAATCGATTTTAAAATTTTAAAGAGAGGTCATCTTCGACTAACTGCCAAAGAGTAATAATTTTTATTAACTTCTTTCTGAACATGAATTGCTTCTTTAACTTGTTCTTATCAAATTTCAAACGTGTTAATTTTGTGCAGAATTCTAAACTATTTTCTAGTCTACAATAGCTATTTGAACTGAATTTTACATTGTGATACATCACATAATCCCATAATCCTTTCAAGTTATCACTCACTTATCAATTTGTAAATATCAAAAGACAACAAGGTTAAACCTACCAGGCTTCTTTATTATTGATGTAATCATTTCTTATTGCAAGAAATTCTGACCCAATTAAATAATGCTCAACAACCATCACAGTGTATTAAATTTGCATAAATTTTGATCAAAGAGCAATGACATTACTCACTTTATTGTTAAATACTCAATGAAAGGCGCTTTATTTCAGCAAAATTAATTTAATACGTCGCGATAAAATTTTATTTATTAATAACAAAAGACATTTATTTTTTAATTTGTTTGATAGAATTTTTTATCATTATAATTAAAAATGCCTAAATTTCTTCGAGATTGAAGCACAAATATCGCAATAATGATACCGCAGAAATAACTAACTGAAGTGAATCAAAGTAAAATATTCCCGAGTTTTCCCTATGGCCAAGTTCTTTTAGTTAATTATCAATTACCGCAAACTGATCGCATTTTAAAACTTTAGAGAGACTAAATGACTACAATGAAGAATCTGGAAAAAAACTTAAATGACAAAAATAACGATAATAATAACTGCTGTGTTCAAATTCTGTTTTAGCTAAAAAATTTATTACAAATTCAAAAAGTTTAGAGAAAGAAATTATTGAAATTAACTAAATTATACTGAAAAGTGAAAAAGTATATCTCTTCAATCAATTTGAAAATTTGAGGTTTTTTAAGATACAATTGTACATGAATGTGATGCAAAGTATCACACCAGAAATGATTCCCAGCAATAGACCAAACAGATATCCGATGACGGCTGGTTGTATCCATGCGTGTTCATCCCCCACGCAACCAATATGCACAAATTGTATGTATGATGATGGCCAATATCTGCTTTCATTTTTTTTCACTTTAAAATTATTCAAATGAGCGCACCATACGGCTATGCTCAATGACCATAACCACGTAAGTATTACCAAACTTCTAACTGAAATAAAATATTATATTTGCAATATACTTTCTATTTTAGTTCCATACTTCCGTTACACTTTTATGTCTGTAATATTTGAATGTGAGATTAAAGTTTAATCCACATGCAAAAAGTGGTCATAAATTGTGTCAATGAATTAATGATTCGCTGAACTGACCATAGAGTATGGCAATTTCTTACATTATGCGAAGTAATACTAATTAATATTTTAGAACAACACATATTCATTTGCAAACCAAATCAAATCACTTATACACCATTTTCACTCATTCGTTGCTTTTCTATCTTTCCGTCTGAACTAAGCAGTGTAAGCAGTTAAAAAGTACTTATCATCCTCAACTAATGTTAGCAACCTTTCACGTATGAATGAGAATTAATAGTACGGCCTTGTCTGCATTGTAACCTTTGTAAAGAAAAATTTAACCAACCGAACGACATCAATTAAATGGAAAAGATTGATAACTTTATCCTTTTGCTCAATTATTTTACCGGATGCTTCCCGAGAACACTAATTAGCAATCAATCTCCTTTCTCTACTTGACCCCTAACCTCCAAAATACTATCAGTGTGCTGTCATTAATTGAAAACTAGCAGCAGATTATTAAGCATCTTTGTGGAAACAAAAAGAATGTTGAAAAGAAGAGAAGCGAGAGTTGACAAGATATCACAGGAATTGCAAGCTAAGTACAAGAAAGAAAAAGAAGGAAGTAAAACTAACCGGAGAAAATGATAGTAGAGTAAAAGGAAAATGAGAAAACACTGTAACGACCATATTTTATTAAAACCATTAAGTAAGGTTCACGTTTGACTTGCGATAATCAGAAAAGTTTTCTCGTAAAATACTGCTTGATACTAATGGTGTTGAAGAGTGCTTGAGAACATACGTTAAGGTTGAGGAAGGACGTAAGGTAAGGTTGTTTCAGAACTACGTAGTGTAATGTGAAGTATTCATGTATTTTTTGAAAATGGTTTACAGGGATGGAACGTTATGATCGCGCAATCACAATCTTCTCACCAGATGGACACTTGTTCCAGGTGGAATATGCTCAAGAAGCGGTCAAGAAAGGCTCAACTGCGGTACTTAATTTTACATAACTTGGATATTTCACATTTCGTAGTATTTAAATTTTTTATTACATATATAGAGAAAATTTATTTTTGTGTGAAAAAAAACGATAAAAACGCATTGAAATTCCACTTACGCAGAATTTCTTGTGCCAGTTTTATGTGTCAATTAAAACAAAATTTTTCATCGCTCTTGAATTTTTCTTATGGATTTTTTTTTAAATTATAATTAGACAACAGCGATACCAAAAATTAAGGTTGGTGTACGCGGTAAAAATTGCGTTGTAATTGGTGTAGAGAAGAAATCAATCCCAATGCTGCAGGATGATCGCACTATTCGTAAGATCCACAGTATTGATGAACATGTTATGCTTGCATTTGCGGGTAATTTATCATATAGTAAAATTTTTTTTAAATATTGCGATTTCTGCAATGATTTTATTATATATTGTTTGTTTACCTCTCTAAAAATTCTAAACATAAATGAAAGGTATGGTTGTTTAAAAGTGTTACTTTATTCACACTTTAGCACTGTTTATGCAGTACTAAGGTTCTAATAGCTGATCCCTTGCTTATATTATTTGAAATATATTGCTTCTTTAAACGTCATTTCTACTATTTTCTTTCAATTTCAATCGTTTACTATCGCCTTTAATTGTGTCAATAATATTCATATAATTTGTTCCAACAACACAAGTACAAACATATATGTTTGTATTTGTGTTAGAACATCTTTTATTTTTAAATATATTTTTTTTATTCGGCGTATGTTTCATTTTTTTGCCTTATCAGGTTTCATTTTTATATGTTGTAGGTTTGAGTGCCGATGCACGTGTTTTAGTAGATAGAGCAAGGATTGAATGCCAGTCATATAAGTTAACTCTCGAAGATCCAGTTACTGTTGGCTATATTGCACGATTTATAGCAAATACTAAACAGGTAGCTCCTCAATATTTAATTTGGTTAAAATAAATGGTCTTAATTAAATTGTCGGAACTAAATCAAGTCTAGATATATGATTGAGAAGATATATTGCTGCATGCGTTCTAGAGATTTACGCAAAGTCCAGGGAGAAGACCTTTTGGCATATCAATGCTTATTGGTGGTTTCGATTTTGACGGAACTCCTCGACTGTTTAAAACAGAACCTTCTGGAGCCTATTATGAATATTCTGTACGTTACTTATTTGATCTTTAAATTTTTAATGTTTGTGAGCGATATATATATTTATATTGTATTGTCTAATCAGTAAATCATTTCTTTGTTCATCTTATATCCAAGTTATTGGATTTATCCTGTTGAGTTAGGTGAGTATCCTGTAATTTCGAATTTGCAGTTATTGCTCATCCAATTTTTAGGCGAATTCAACAGGTCGAGGTGAAAAACCAGTTCGAGAATATTTGGAAGAACATTACAGTGATGAAACAACAGCTGATGAAACTGGCGTACTGAAGCTGGTAGTGAAAGCTTTATCGCAAGTAGTTCAAAGCGGTGTGCAGAATATTGAAATCGCAATCATGAAACCATCTACTGAACCGGTTATCGTTATTTTTCATAACAATAATTTTTCCTTCAGTGTGTGATAGTTTTAATTTTTGCCATTCGTAAAATCTTCGAAGCTTTTATGTAGAAAGTTGCACGTTTTAAGCAGATTTAATGATAAATCTGGAGTTTTTATATTGTTAACAATGGTAGTTAAAAAATTGTTTTTACAAGAGTTAGGAACTTAATTATTTTTATAAAAAGTAAAATTTTTATATTCAGGGACATACTGTAGATTATCGTATTCTTCCAGTCGAAGAAGTAGAGGAATTAATAAAAGTTGTTGATGCCGAAAAAGTTGAAGCTGAAGCGGAGGAGGCGGCAAAAAAGGCTGCGGGATCAAAGTGATTTTGAGAAAAATTTTAATATTCTAGATTCATTTGGTCAGTCACAGATTTGCTCTTGTATGAACATGGGATTCTTAAAGAAATGGAAATAGTGACGTTCGAAGTACTTCATTTTTCTAACGAATATGTTGCTCTACGAATGAAATGCATTATATTTATAATCAAGCCTAACTGAAATAATTCTGCATATAATTACTGCTTGGAATTCGAATTTAAATTCTGAAAATTAGCATATAAATTATAAAGAAAAAATTACCAAGTCTTTTTAGTAGAGTAGCCGCCACTCGAAGAAAGTTTTGGTTTAATTAATGAGTGTTCCCTTCTGTCTATTTGTTCGCATTAATTTGGCTTCATTAATGCATATCACTAAGCATCATTGAAAAGTTATGACTGTACATTGTGCTGAAAACTATTGATACTTGATATCATTAGTATTTTAATGTTGCGATGTTATTCGTGTGTTGATCATTTGTTGCTACATTGTTAGGTATGAATCTGATCATTAATATCGGAGTTTGCTTTTAAAAGATATGCCAATAAAGATTTTTAAGGTAAGATATTAAGAAAGTGCTCCACAAAATCAAAGCTTTTGTATCTTAATACATTGTTGGGCATGAATCTGATAACTAATATTGGGGATTAGAAAATAAATTATACAACCGGCGATTAGAATATATATTACTACAACGAATCCGATCGGTGCACGGTTGCAACTGGCTCTGCGCCAGTTCAAGGCGAGGGGAGTAGGGAGGGGAAGATAGGAAGGGGTGTGGGTTGCAGAACTCATGCGTGGCGAAATGCAGGGCTTGGAGTCATTATGAAAAATATGTTTAAGTAGGTATAAAACAGATTCGAGGACTTTTCAAAGTAATGTAAAGGCTGGGGTAATTTGGTCACTTGTTTCTGGAGCGTCTTGTTTGCTTCTTACTAGTGATACCTGTTTCTTGCAGGATTTACCAAGTATTCGAGTAGAAATATTAGTAATTAGTGTAACCTTTTCACCACTAGTTGTAGAAAACATTTTCAGGTTATTCAAAATTGTGTATTAGAAATTGAAAAGATCTCGAAACTGTCGAAATGGTGAGTAGTTTGAAATATTCTTAGATCAGTTTGCCAAAACAAGTGCTAAATTGACTGTAATATTATTTGAAGCTAAATTAATTCTTTACTGGAAATAGGATGTCTAAATTTCAAGAATTACGTAATGCATTACTAAGACTGCAGATATGTTAACCAATTTGTCATTTTTCAGACTACAAAATTTAAATTTTATTTTTTCCAGTTAATTGATCATTTATTAATATTATATTTCAGACTATCAGTAAGAATAATAAGATGATGTCTCATTTGAATCGCAAAATGAAAGTGGTTTTGTTAGATTCAAGGACTTTTGTAGGCTTCTTCAAAGGTATTAGAGCTTGTTCCATTTATTGGTTATCTCATGAAGTCATGAGTTATCCTGCGTTTATCGAAATCAATCAAGGCAATGAAAATTATGATGCTAGTTTTTTTCCGTTTTCTATGTTGCTCATATTTTAGCCTTCGATAAGCATATGAATATCCTTTTATGCGATTGTGAGGAATTGCGACGTATCAAACCAAAACCAGGCAAGAAAATCGCTGAGGTTGTGAGCTACACCAAAATTTATATGTTTTATAGGAAAGATCTTGTGTTTTTACATCTGTTTACATATAATTCATGTTGCTATAATTTTAACTTTTCCAGATGATCCATTTTAAGTAATCAGTCACAAACCCTTATTTACTGATTGAAGAAACAGCAAATTTATTTCTTAGAAAATCACAATTTTCCATATTTCCGTTGGCTTCTATTCATTGAATTCTTTTTTATAAGTTGAAGGCAGTCTATGACTAATAGTTGTGTATTTTGAACTATGACTAATGGTTTTGTAATGATTTTTGTTTTTCCTCCTAAGAGTCTTAGGAATTCCATTTTCATATTTAAGGGTGAAGAAAAGCGTATGTTGGGTTTAGTGTTGTTACGAGGTGAACACATAGTTTCTATGACTGTTCAAGCTCACGAGCAAGATGATGATTCAAAACAGATGGGAAAAGCTGGTAATATTGGTGGACCTGGTGCAGCACGACCAGCTGGACGTGGTATTGGACAACCCATGGGAGGTCCTCCCGGTCCTGCACCTGGTTGGTACACCTGACCAAAACACATGAGAATTTTAAAAATTATAAAAATGAAATATAGCTGTTTTTTGAGTACAATATATAATAGTTGTCCGTAATGACAATTCTATTTCAAATACTAGAAAAATATTCTTGGTTTTTATCAGATATTCAATAATGACTTCAGCAACAAAATCTCTGTGTAATTTCTGTTTCAGGAAACTGAAATTAATGCATGCATTATATGGAAATAGATTATTTCTTGCTATAGAGTTCAAGCATGCAAACTGTTCCTGATAAAACTGTAATTTACATTGTAGATAAAATTATTCGTCATTTCATTTGTTTTGTATTCGTAGTTTATTACTTGCAGGTTTACAAGGCGCAGTGCGCGGTATTGGTGGCCCTGCTATGGGCATGATGCAACCTCAACCAGTACCTGGCGCTCCACCATTTGTTGTTCCACAAGTTTTCCCTCCGCGAGGACCGATGTATCATTAATTTTTGTACTGTGGAAATTGTGCATTATTTTTGTTCGAAATATATAAATCTCTGAATTTACATCCAGATCGTAAAACGTGGTTCCCACTCATTGTTATTTGCTACCGAACAAACAGCACTGTTGTTTTTGGTAATATTAAGGTATTTTTGGAATATAAAATGCTACTAATAGTTTTAGTATGTAAAATTAAACAACTGTAAGCTTTTAAAATGGTTGGAACTCGATCAATGTTAATCAGTTTGGTACTGAACTTGAACTATTCTTACTAATTTTTGTATTGGCATTGCTAATATTTACGTATTCAGTTACACTGTTTTTAATTTTCTGTATTGTGAATTAGCGAGAGACTTCATTTGATAAAAAATCTGCAGATGAAAGTTATTGAAAATTTGCTATATCAATATCTAAAAGGTCAAATTAAGTTCAGGCTGATGGAGTTCTACATAATTGTTTTCGTGCATTGAGTTGGAGTTTTGATTTCGTTTTTGTTCTTTTTGCAATAAAAGCATGTTCAGGTGAATATGATCAAACTTGTATAGCTTTAATAGCAGGAGATCAATTTCTTGTCTTTCAGTTCCCTGATGAAGGTTTACTCTATAAATAATTCAGGAGTTTTGTCAGCTTAAGATTCGAATCGGTTGTCACGAGTTTGGGGTCGGGAAATTCGTAATTTTGGATGAAGGTATGAATGATACTCAAATTTATAGAAAAGCAGGGATTTGATGGTAATTGGTTGAGGGAAGATAATGCCACCGAAGAAAAAGAGTGATGGTGAGGAACGTCCTCCACTAATGGGTCGAATTGGGACGAATTTAAAGGTTGTGGTCATGTACTATCATCGAAATGATTGAAGCAGAATTTGTGAGGGAAGTGTCATTCTGTAGAAGGATGCTGTTTGCTCCTAGTTTCAGAGTTGTCGCTGGCAGAGTTAAGAATGATTAGATTTCATAGTGGTTTTGAATTGTACTGCCTCATGTGAAGTATTTTGTGGCAAATTAAAGTATGTACCAGATGACTGTAGATGATTTTGCATCAATATCTAGTAATGCAGAAATGTTCTTTGATCCTTTTTCTGCAATGGGCAAAATGTGAACTGATGTTTTGAATAAAGCACTTTATAATCAAAAAATGACATGAGGTTCTGCAGTCACTGTCTTTTAGATGGGTATTCTTGGAGTGCCAAATGTCGGTAAAAGCACATTTTTTAATGTACTTACGAAAAGTCAAGCACAGGCAGAAAACTTCCCTTTCTGCACAATTGATCCTAATGAAAGTAAGTTTGGTGATTCCGAATTACTCTTTCTCCGTTTCCAGTATATAAGTACCAAGTTTTTTCCCCATTTCAAGATTCTTTGTGGAACTTGTAGCTATTATATTTAACATTTTTTTCACAACCCTCACAATGAGATAAGTGATCAGATATCTAAACCTAAACACTGACATGCTGCAGTGTTTATAACATTAACTTCAGGTCGTGTGCCAGTGAACGACAATCGTTTTGATTGGTTAGTTGAACATTTCAAACCAGCTAGCAGAGTTCCGGCATTTTTGAATGTTGTTGATATTGCTGGTCTAGTAAAAGGTGCTTCTGAAGGACAAGGTCTTGGCAATGCTTTTCTTTCGCATGTAAGTGCATGTGATGCGCTCTTCCATCTTTGCCGGTAAGTTATCTTTTGTGTGTTTACCTAGACAAGTAAATCCTTATTGCATTCGAGATTAATGTACTGAAAGAAATATTGAAATTTACTTCAGATTGGTGTTGCAGTTTAGAAACTAAGAATTTGTTCAAATTTAATGAATAATTTAAAAAATCCTGATATGCCTTTATTTGTTATTAAAAATAAGGTGCCGAAAGCCATCTTTTAAAAATGGTTGAAAATACTCAAAACTTGTAATTGTAGGGCATTTGATGATGACAATGTAACGCACGTCGAAGGTGAAGTTAATCCAGTTCGAGATCTTGAAATAATACAGAATGAACTTTACCAAAAAGATTTACAATATTTGGAAGGTGCCATAGATAAGTTGGAGAAAGTTGTTATTCGAGGTGGCGATAAGAGCAGGAAACTGGAGTATGACACACTGCTGAAGGTATATTTGCAAAAAAAGTAGCATAGAAAGAGTGTTTTCCCATTTTGGTACAGAAGAGCTTCCAATTTAAGGTACAAAAGCTACTGGAAGAGAAGAAGCAGCCTGTTCGTTTGGCATTTTGGAATGAAAAGGAAGTTGAAGTTCTAAATCATCATCTTCTGTTGACTGCTAAACCCATCGTTTACTTGATAAATCTTTCAGATTCAGACTATATACGGAAGGTCAGTTTTGAAACGCTAAAGAATTATGCAATCTAAACTCATTAATTTTTCAGTCGGCTATACAGGGTTTTAATGTAAATCCTGACTGCTGAAATTTTACTGCATTTAATTATTTAACTGGTATCACAAAAGTATTCTGTAACTAAGAAAAAGTTCGCTATTATTTGATTTCGTTGCCAAGTGCAGAAAAACAAGTGGCTGTCAAAAATCAAAGCATGGTTGGATGAAAATGATCCACATGCAGTTTGCATTCCATTCAGCGGCACGTTGGAGCTCAAACTTATGGAGATGCCTGAAGATGAACGGAGTGTTTTTCTGAAAGAACAAAACACAACGAGGTAGTAGCCTTTCATACTAATACTGATTTAATATTCTCGATATCTTAATATGGGAAAACGGAAGCAGAATTTGCTTGTTTTGTGTGACTTTACTTATTTTTGTTATGGTATTTTAGTGGCCGTATTGTGCATTTGTTTCAGTGCGTTGGATAAAATAGTGAAGACTGGCTACAAGGCTTTGCAACTTGAATATTTCTTCACATGTGGAAAAGATGAGGTGAAAGCGTGGACAATTCAGGTAGGATTGTTTCGATTGTGATTCTGAAATTAGACTGAGTTTAGTCGATGTTTACGCGTGCATTCATTGTATTTTTATGAGGTGATTGCAAATGTATGATGAAAACTGATAATGAAGGAATGTTGAAGAAGGGAACAAAAGCACCTCAAGCAGCGGGAAGAATTCATACAGACTTCGAGAAAGGCTTTATTATGGCAGAAGTGAGCAAAGTAAATGATTTGATGGAATTGGGCAGTGAGAACGCAGTGAAAGCAGCTGGCAAGTACCGACAACAAGGCAGAAATTATGTGGTTGAGGATGGAGATGTGATATTATTTAAATTCAACGCTGGTGCTGGTCTTACGAGCAAAAAGAAGTGATTGAGTGATAGCTCTCAGAAACTGCGTACTCTGATATATTGAGAAGTGTCAATTGAAATCGTAGCTGATCATGCTTGTTTTGTTTCGCACATTTCA